CCCCACACACACACACACACACATACAGGTACGCACAACAACAATCAATCTATCCAAAATGACCAAGTTTACATTATGAACATAACACATGTTATATTTGTACCACAGCAGTTTGACTATAAGGAGCCTTATTTACTTGTGAAGCACATATGAAGGCAGCATTTATATCAATATAGAAATTCAATCAATATACTGGAATATAATGCACAATTATTATGACATATGTCAGAGGTCCATGTTTGTTTAGCCTAATTATGGGAGTTAAATAACAGGAGGAGACTGGTCAATCGTTCACAGTTTGAATATGATATTATCAATCATCAGGGATGTTTACATAAATATTACCTAATATTTCAATAATAACGCAATTGTAATGTCATCAAAATGTATTGTCACAAATTTTAGCATGAGTGTACTTGTAAAACATTTGTTACTTTCGCGGATTCCGTAAAAATGATCGTTTCAGCTCTGAGTCATGAAAGAAAATATAATAGACTGACAACTTACCTAAACACAAACTCACGATGGTGAGGAAGCTGAGACTTCGAAGCACGTCTGTCATTGTCACAGTCCTTTGAAAGAACGCTGATTGGAGAATGTATATGTTATAAGCCTCTCGACGGAGCATGTCACTGGACCGGCTCATTGTTGTAGCTTTGTCTGGTACATAATTGATAAGGAACATAAGTTTATAGACACTAGTAAAAAACGCAGTTAGCGATCTGTAAAGTTAAGATAAGTGTTTTGTTTCCAGAACGATGAAAACCGTTTGTGTCATATCACCTTATGTTTTAGTAGGACAAAATATGTATTTCCTTATCAAATTCTCCTTCTTTATGCAGCTGCGTCCTTAACTGTCATGATTAACTTTAGCAAACATTTTCCTCAAAACTTCTGACACTGGGAGTTTTTATTCATCAATTTTTATTGAGGTGAATATTGAGGTTACACTAACCTGAGCTAGTGAAATTGACCGAGATGTAGTTATAGTTAAGGGTAAATAATGTTAAATAATTCAACAAGTAGGGATGTATGTTAACTGTAAAGTTCTACATTTTGCACAGAACAGTGTGCCGTTATAACTGATATGGAGTCATGAAATAGATATTGATCCGCTGTTCCTACACAAAGTCAGTATCACAAAATACCGGCCTCTTCGTGAATCTGAATAAATCAATCAGGATGTAATGTGTGTCATCTAAATATATTTATCACATAATGTACTGTGTTATCCAGTGAATATACCCATGTCATATTATGTTTGCGTGTTTACCCATATAATATGACCTATCAGCCCTGCGATTGGGTGTAAGTTTCAATTGTTTCAGTAGTGACTTCACGCCTAGGACAAGTACATGACGTCACAGACTTATTTACTGGATTCAAATGGCGGCTTTTTACATTTCAATGTTGCATGCGAATTATCGTTCTAATAGAATAAATGCCACATATCTTGATTATGTGATAAAAAGGATCTTACACTCGTTTTCATTAGCTTACCTGGTCCGAAGGATTTGGTTTGGAGTATCCTTAGACCGAGGGACTCAATTTTGTATAAATGGTGGGTGTGGCCCCCCTGGGGGAAGAGGGGCGGGGCCAAATAATGGAAACAGGGGTAAAACCTTTAAAATCCTTCTCCTACCGTATGGATTGAGGGATTTTATTCTTAATTAATCTTGTACAAATGGTGGACGTGCCCCCCCCTGGGNCCCCCCCCTGGGCGCAGAGGGGCAGGGCCAAATAATGGTAATAGAGGAAAAACCTTTAAAATCCTTCTTCTACCACAGGGATTAAGGGATTTTATTCTAATTTAGTCTCGAGCATCCTTCGGCCATAGGGAGGAAGGGATTTCATCCCAATTTTGTCTAGAACATCTTTGGGTAAAATTAAATCAATTTTGTATTAACAGTGAGTGTGGCCCTCATGGGGCGGAGGTGCGGTGCCCAATAGGGGAAATAGAGTAAATTCTTCAAAATCCTTCTTTTTCTGAAGGAACGACAGCATTTTGTCCAAATTTGGTATGAATCACCGTTTGGTGAAGGGGAACCAACATTGTATAAACAGTTGGCCTGACCCCGCTGGGGGCAGAGAGGCGGGTCCAATAAGAGATATAGAGGAATAGCTTCAATATTCTTTTTCTTCCGTTGGGATAAAGGTATTTTGACCAAATTTAAACAGTAGCATCCTATGGGGAAGGGAAATCAATTTTGTATAAATGGTGGGTCTGAAGCATCCTTTAGTGAAGGGGACTATATTTTGTATGCCGTTGGGTCTGACTCCCTGGCGCAGAGGGGCGGGGCCCGATACGGACAACATAGCAAATTCTTCAAAATACTGCTTCTTTTGTAGGAATGACAGGATTTTGTCCAAATTTGGCACCAAGCACTCTTTGGAGAAGGGGAACCAATTTTGTATAAACTGAGGGTTTACACCCCCTGGGCAATATAGGGAAAATAGAAAAATAGCTTTGAAATCCTTCTTCTGTAGGAATGACAGCAGTATGTCCATATTTGGTATAAAGCATCCGTGGGTGAAGGGAAACTAATTTTGTATCAATGGTGGGTCTCACCCCCTGGGGGCAGAGGAGCGGGGCCCAATAGTGGAAACATAGCAAATTCTTCGAAATCCTCCTTTTCCTGTAGGAATGACAGGATTTTGTCCAATTGCATATAAATATAACCCCTGACTAGCCATGTAATACATGTAAAGCAACATCTGGCTATTTCATCTTCAATTTTGCTAACATTTCCAGGTGAGCGATACAGGCCCTCTGGGCCTCTTGTTTCATACGAAATTTTGAAACTCGTCACGAATTTTTCATTTTAGCTCGCCTCAAATTGAAAAATTCTCAGACTCGTTTCATGAATCTCATATGAATCGTAACTCATGTAAAATCCTATATATCTGTTTCACTATAATCAAAGCATGTATTCATCAACATGCCATAACTAGCCCCGCTGGTTGGTCTATCAGTACATGGGTAAGCTGGAATGTATGCTTGCATAGTTTAGTTGATTGTAATTGATGATCTTTTTTAGCCAATCTGTGAAAATTGGCTTTCCTAAATGGTGAATGAAAATATTTCATGATATTTATTCTGAGCAACAGTTCTAAGTGGTTTCGGATAGAAAAGATGTTTTATAAAATTATATTATTAAATTAAATTTTATATTCTAATGAAAGTAATGCAAGAATGACATATTTATGAAAAAGTATAATATCCACATTTAACTTAGTATTGATAAGATAATATTATTTATTCTTAGAGTATCGCGACGTTCATGTCAAAACAGTATGTTAAGCTGCGAAATAAGTGAGTAAGATAAAGTATATTGAGGAAACGGTCAAATACTGATTTTTTTACAGAATAAGTTCAAGAAATAAAGGATGAGTGCCTATAAAGCCCCTTTGTGGGCCCTGGTATATTCGAATTTACACTTCCTTAATGTGCAAAAAATAAGGTAAAGTTTGACCGAAAGTGAGTTTTGGGGGGTACCGAAAGTGTGTAGCGAATATGCATTTGATGTTAGTGTACTTAAATGAATAACCCTGTAAATTTCAACTCAAAATGTGTATTAGAATGGAAATTATGGAGAAAAACAAAACATTTTTATTGGAAAATTACCTAAAAAAACAACAGGACTTAATCCTCCGTTTTATAAAAACAATCTTAAATGACGATAGAATTTCTGTCATTTTAAATTCTTTTATATATGCTTGTTCAGTTTATACATTTTTTTTGAAAACAAAAATGGTACGAACTCGGATTTTGAGTTCATTTTAAAAACAGCAAAAACCCATTCCTTTTTAACTTTTACCGAGGTGTTGCACATGTAGTACAATAGGACATCTCTGAACAAATTATATTTACATTTTTCTAGCACCATTGCCTGCACTAATTAATCCGAACAAAATGACAACAGAAGCAAAATATGTTTGTGAACAAAAACTGACCACCAGAAAACAGGAATCGTGGGTAAATACTTTCTTCCTTAAAACGGCAAGTAAGCGGAAACAATATGGAGTCATCTCCTAATATTAGAAGTAATGATTTCTTCGCTTTATTGTACATGACTAAGTTTCTTAACAGAAATAATAAGATAAGTTCAAAGCAGTCAACCGTATACAATATAACCCCCAGTCAATACTTAATATTGTGTTAATCAGCTTCTGTCGCTTATAGTGTCATCAGATTTCTGTTATCGAGTTTTACAAAAGTAAGCATTAATTTCAATGAACGTAGCATCTAACGTATATCAATTTACATCAAAACTACGACTAATGTTCAGGTTCTTTATTCACATTCAGTGCTATTACTTTCTGAGCAACGGTCCCAGGAGTCTTGAGTATTCTATTTCGATATTTTATGCATTATCCAGATCTCCACCTGGTCAATTACGGAATTTGTATTCATCAGTAACGATAGCACCAGCAAAAACATTTACCAAAGCCGACACATCTATCTATAGATGTATTCATTGCGGAGGTGACGTTTTCATAATTCATGTTAACAACAGTTGACAAGGTATTCTTCACGTTGTCGAATCATTGATTACAGCGATCATGCATTCATTAGCTTGAAATAAACGACTTTCCCGTGCATTCGTCTGTATGATAAGATCTTGACTGCCATCAGTAACAAATTTCTCAGGGGCTCAATAGGTGCTGATAGTCAAATACATAACAGTTTCTAACAGTTCATAAACACAGCATCTAGTTGCCTCACCTCACACTCATCACAAGAAACAATAAATAATAGTTTGTAAACATAACAAGTTTATTACAATAAATATTCTAATTTTTAGTGACATGTTTATTGATCAATTCGGTATTGTTGTTTCAATAAGTTTCTTTACACTCTTGGCTTTCGTGAAGAACAATGCATTTTATACAAAAAAGGTTTAATTGATTACGAAACGATCGTCTAAAAATACAGTGAAAACCTTAATAATCAACAGCGAAAGAATCCCTAACTTCAGGTGTTTTAAAAGCAAATTTACCTAAAATATTTCACAGATAATGCTCCATGGATAATCTGAGACAATTAAAGATTTTCAGTTCTAGCCTTATTTACTTAACCAAAAGCCACGCAAAGTATGGAGAGGCACGATGTGGATTATGCGTTGTATCATTAGGTGAATTTTGTCAAATTTCATGATATTCAAGCAAATTATTGAAGTTACATGTAGTGTGTCAAAATTGCTGCCAGAGTTCAAAGCCAGCAGAACAATACCAAGGAGAATATAGCACATTCTGTAACTGCAAAAAGAATACTTTAGTTATTATGTTTTTAACAATATTTTCCATTATTCCTTTTTAATAAATCGATTGGATAGCCATGAAGTGAAAGTGTGCCTGCCCACCCCACTTCAATCAAAGCCGGGCAATATCTCATATTTGATGAAAATGATACTGAAAATAGATTTTTTTTTATTGAATCGGCAAATAAGATTAGCAAATTATTGACGCTTCTGAGAAATACGAAAACTACATTATCGTTACGGTTTAACAAGACCGAGATAACATTATTTCAATAATTAAACACCTCTGTGAGATGGCATAATACT